GGTATAATCGCATAGCGCGCTAATAAGCAGGATACAGTCACGACGTTAATAACGGAAGCAGAGCTACTAGCGTTAGCATAAGGTGCAAAAGAGGGTATCTTTATATAACGCCTATTACTTAGTATAGGAGTGGAATTTAACGATCCGGAATCAAGGATCTTATACGATAATAACTAAGCGATTCGATTAGTTAACTAAGAGATTAGCACGTTAATAACGCGCCTCCGCCATGTCGATATCCACGGCCACTAGTTATATTAAGTAAAGGAATAAGGGTAAATTCTCGTAACGTACGTCACGAGCGCGGAAATAGTAGTAGACGGATTAAGGAAGGCGTTATGCGGCGAGAAATTTAAGATATTCAGGTCCTAGGTAGGAGTAATAGATATACGGGAACGGCTATAGTAAAAATAGCTGGAGGAAGTCCGGATAGAGTATTTACAGGACCTGGAGAATGAATCTAAGGGCGGCTATAGCGAAGAGATTATAGAGGCCGTATGCCCGTTATATCTGCCGGTTATAAATAGCTTTAATCGCCTAACTAACGTTTTAGGGCGAGTAAGGGGTGTATCGAATAGACTATAGTCTTTTCGATTACGTAATAGACCGGATTACGAAGAGTATAATCCGGGTAGACGCTTATAGAATCTGCAATATATAAAATACGGTGGTAGCCTTTCCCTGACGGTCTAAGATAGTTATAATTATACACAATTACCTTAGTCTAATTTTGACCTATCTTATAACGATTTTGACTACGCTTTATCTAACACTGACCTCCACCGAACCACAATGCCACAAATAATAAACCACTAGCTATAACGCTAGCTATAATAATAACGCCCCTAAAGGCCCTAACGTCCCCCCCCTAAGGCCCTTATAACTATAGAGGGCCTAGGGGAGGGGGATATAGGTAATACCTTTAATATAGAGGATTTAACCCTCGCTACGCCTCTAAATTCGAAAAGGCACCTTAGTCCTTCTACACCTATACCTAGACGATTTTCTAGGACCCGAATCGCATCACCCTCGGACTCGGAAGCCAAAGGCGTTTTCGAAACGCCCTTGGCGGCCCCCCCTGCCTCTAGGCCCCCCCCTGCTAAAACTCCGAGCCTTTTAGGCTCTAAATAGACTAAAAAGGCGCCCGGAATAGCTAAAGCCCCTAGAGAAATCTCGGCTAAGCCCTAGAAGTCGACTAGTTCGGCTAGTAAGACATAGACTAAGGAACTACTCTAACAGGCTCTTTAGCTACTTTAACAGGCCTATACCCTTAACCCTGCCCCTAAGATTAAAGCCTTATCCGTAGGGCTTAAATCTGCTATCGACGGAGTTCTAGAGGCCCCCTAGCCTCCTATACTCGAATAGAAGGTCGACGAACTAATCTAAGCAGTTCGTAGGCTTATATAATAGCCTAAACCCCTTTATAGCGAGGCTATAAAGGGGAAAGAAGGCCCTATAGCACCCTAGGCCCCTATTTTAGAGGCCCTAGCACCTGCGGCCTAGGCCTAGACCCCCTTAGCACCCCTCCCTATAGACCCTAAAAAGGTCCCTAGGGTTATCCTTTAACCTATGGCAGGGGCAGCGATTCCTAGGGATAACTTCGACTCCCTTGCGCTTCGGAATAAGCTTAACAAGGCTCTAAAATTCCCTATAGTTACGGCTATTAGCCGGTCGACTAACGGGAACCTTATTTTAACCCCGGGGCCGAAATACAGCGTTTAATAGCTTCTAGACTCGTAGAATTAGTGGTTTAAAGAACTAAACCTCCCCCTCCACCCCCCCTAGCCTATAGCTAACTAGTTTAAGCTTATTATTAAACAGGTGCCTTCTAAAGCCTTTAGGGGTGGCGATACCCCTCTAACTGACCCTTCAAAGCCGCCGTAAAAGGCCCTTAACCGAAGCCTATAACAGGGGCTTTATATAGCCGGTCAGCGGCTAAAGGTCTATAAATATAGGCCTATAACCCCTTGAACCTAGTGCTTTAACTGCTGGAAATTTGGGTATACCCGAGGGACCTATAAAGGCCTAGTTTCCTGCCTTATCTATGCCGTCAAAGGCTATAGGGAGGAATACCACTACTATAACGAGTATAAAGAATACGGAGACTATATGCATAAGACCTATAAGTGCTATAACTACGAGGGAGATCACTCCCCCTTTACTAAGGACTACGAGGTCTTTTAAACTATAAAACCCTAAATTGAATAAATAAAGGGCCTTTTACTTCGAAAGATATCCGGTTTATTTAATATAACGTCGATAAACAGGCCCCAGCGTAAAAGGCTATCCTAGAATAGGCTTTAGAGGCTTCGGCTAATATAGTCCTTATTTAGGAACCAGCCTACGTCTCGATACTAAAAGGGTGGTTTATTCGGGACTACCCTGCTTTCTATACCGTTACGCCTATATCCTAAAAAACCCAGTTCTTCCCTATTAAGCCCAGGGTCCTTACTTATATAAGAAAGGGCTCTAGTATCGATTTTTCATACCGCGATAACCTTCTAGACGATATAGACGTATACAGTATATAGGTTTATTATCCATAGACCTTTTATATTCTACACCTCTATAATGAGATAGAATAGGAACCCGAAATAATAGGCCGAGGCCGGCCCCCTAGCCTTACCCCTTCTACCTCTTTTACTTCTTCTTCTTCTTATTCTTTCCCCTCCTTTTTAGGCCCTAAAAGCCGGCCCTAGACCGAGGATCGAGTGCTATAGAGCCTATAGGTCCCTAAGCCTACCCTTAATATAGGGGACTTTAATAGAAACCACTAGCAGTAGAACGGAGCTACTACTAACTAAGCTTCTATTAGGGCTAAGGCTCTAATAGACTGGTTAGATAGCTTCGGAGCTATCTATCTAGTGGATTCTAAAGAAGTTAACCTAAACGGGGGGACCTTTTTTAGGTCTGATCTTCGTTAAGAGTCGGTTATAGACCTAGCCTTTTACACGCCCGGCTTCGATTATCTCCGCTTCGATAAGTAGGAATATATCGAAAACACTACCTCTCTACACCACGCTATCCTCCTTTTAGCTACTATTTTAGGCTCTAAAAGTCCTATAAATAGGTCTCTCCCGCCGGCCTATAACTATAAGCTAGTAGATTAGGACCTATTTTCTAGTACCCTAAAGAGTCTAGAACCTAGGCTCGACTAGGATATTTAATAGGCTATTAACGCCTCGGACTAGGATTCTTTAGGCCGCTTCCTTTCGGATACTATTACCCTAGCGCTTAAGGCTTTAGTGCCTAAGCTACGGGTAGCAGGGCGTTCGAAGCCGTGGTAGACTACAGAGCTAAAGGCCCTGCGAACATCAGCTAACAGGGCCTTTAGGGCGTTTCGAAAGGCAAAAAAGGGGGCATCAGCCTCCTAGGTGCCTTTAGAAGCCTCCTAGAAAGAAGCTCGAAACGTCTACTATCGGGCGGTTAAAATAGTAAAAAACGACTACTAGGAGGCCTTTCTAGCCCACGCCGAAGGCCCTAAAATCTTTAAGGCCTATAACTATACGAAAAGCGGCCTTAACGCCAAAGTCCCACCGATTTAAACGCCTACGAAGTAGAAGGCCTATGCCTTCGAAGATAAATACAACGCCCTACTTCACACCCTTTTTCTAACACCTTCTTCTTCCGCCACCTAGGCCCCTAAAGCCCCTGTATCTACAGGCCTTTTAGGGGGCCTAGGCCCCTCCTACCCTTCGAACGGCCCCTAAAGCCTGACTAGATCACGCAGTAAGGGCCTTAGAAGACCGTGGGAATGGCCTAGCCTCTAGGTTGCCAAACTATGGCGCGCTATATTTGGAGCTGCTAACGGGAAAGCCCTAGGGCCTAATATAATTAGTCTAGAACCGATCTAGCAGGCCTATAAGGTTATCCTCGCCTCCTTTTTATAAGCCTATTCAGCACTATTTATAGCAGGCCACTACCCTACCTGCTAGAAACAAGTCCTAGGGGTCGTTTTACCGAAATCGGGAAAGAAGGACTATTCTAATCCTAAGTCTTATAGGATTATAGCCCTTCTAAACTACCTAGGTAAAGTCTTCTAAAGGGTTTTAGCTACTACGCTTAGCTTTATAGCTAATACCCGCGACGACCTTCTACACCCTAGTTAAATAGGGGGAAGAACATAACGCTCTGCTATCGATATAGCCCTTCTCCTCCTCCACTATATCGAAAAACAGCGTAAATCACGTCAAAATCCTATAATTTCTACGCTATTTGTAGATATTAAAGGAGCCTTTAATTATATCGCCTATCCCTAGCTACTTAGGACCCTTTAGGAACTGTAACTACCCTCGAACCTAGTTAAATAGATAACCTCTTTTACAGAAAACAGGCGAATCTAACTAGCCTTCAAGGGGCAGGTCCAGCAGCCTACCCCCTTAAATATAGGGGTTCTATAAGGCTCCCCGGTTTTCCCTATCCTTTCTGTAATTTATATTAGAAAGGTTATAACAGGACCGGATTTTTAGGGTCTTTAGTTATCCTATATCGACGATTTTCAGCTATCTATAGCGTCTACGTCGACTAGGAAAAACTATACACCCCTAGAAAAAGCCGTAGCCTCCCTTTTCGACGTAGTAAATATTAACTAAGGCCTCTTCGACCTTTAAAAAACAGAGCTTATTCACTTCTATCGAAGACGCTCTAAAGAAGACACTCCGGTTAGTATAGGGGGGCACCTAGTTAAACCCGCGCTAGGTGCTATTAGGTGGCTAGGGGTCTGGTTTAATCCTAAGCTATCCTTTAAACCCTATATCGAAAAACGACTAAATTCGGCTTTAGGGGCCTTAAATAGGCTACACAGGCTAGCTAGCTCGTAGAGGGGCCTTTTCTTTAAGGCTCTACGGCAGCTATATATAGCCTATATAGCCTCTCTAGCTGATTTTGGCTCGTAGCTCTGGTAGGACCCTAAATCACCGAAAAAACACCTTATGGGTCGCCTAGAACGATTACAGTACGGGGCCCTAGTTAGAGCCTTAGGTGGTTTTAGGGGAGCCCCTTTACGGCCTCTAGAACTCGAAGCAGTAGTCCCCTTAGCGGCGGTTCGGTTAACGAGGTCTAATAGGCTTTATGCCTTTAGAACCTTAAAATTCCTACTAAACCACCCTATTAGACGCTAGCTCCTACTAAGCGAAAACTACGAAGGCGAAAACCACGAAGGCAAAAACCACGAAGGCCTTAACCGGCTATAGAACCTTCTGCTTAGTATATAGCTATTTAGGCTAGGCCTAGACATAGCGGCTTTAATAGGTTAGTCTTAAAATATCGAGGGCCCTTTAGCTAGGTGGGAGGCCCTCTAGGCTTCGGAACCCTTAGCGGATCAAAGGCCCTTTTTCCCTATACACCGGCCTATTATAGCTACTAACCCTGGCCCTGGCCCTGGCCCCGATACCCTCGATCAGAAAACAGCCCACCTTAAAGCCCTCGCTAAAATACAATAAGGCCTAGGGGAATAAACTGCTATTTTCTATACCGACGGCTCCTTAGGCCACCCTACTAGGCCCCCTAGAGGACCCTCGTAGGCTATAGCCGCTGTGATATAGTGGACTAATACCGGAAGGCCCTGTAAAGCTATAGGCTTTAACTTAGGGGCCGCTACCGAAGTCGCGGACGCTGAATTATACGCTATTCTTTGGGCGCTTTACGCTGCCCTAGAATAGTCGCCGAGGCCCCTAGATTGCTATATTTTTAGTTACTCCTAGGCACCTATTCAGAAGCTTCAGCGCACCTTATAGTAGGCTATAGAAGCTAAAGACCTTATCTCACGCCTTAAATAACTAGGCACGTTAGTTTCTGTATAGTGGTGCCCCTCGCATATAGGGATACAAGGGAACGAACTAGCGGATAAGGTAGCTAAAGGGGCGTTAAACCCCGAAAAAGCTACTAAATCCGTTAGCTTAGTTACCCTTAGCCACCTAAAACGCCGGGTAAATAAAGCCCTTATTTAAGACTGGAAAACCCTGTGGAATCATGAAGAAGAGGAGGAGAAAAGAGGTAAATCAGTTCGATTGGGCCGCCTATATAGGCGCCTAGTCCGCGATAACCTCCGTTTCTCCCGAAAGCCACTACTAATATAAGGCCCTAGGTGGGTAAAATCGGCTTTTACTTAGTTAAAAACCGGCTTCGGATACATGAAAACCCAATACAAAAGCGCCTATAACTGCACTAATGACCGCTATTCCTTTCCCGGCTCCCCTATACAGGATACAGCACACCTTATTCTTTCTTGCCCTTTTTATAAAAACGAACGAAGAGCCCTGCCAGAAGCCCTAGTAGGCCTACCGCTATCTCTGCCGCTATTATTCGGTACTAAAAGAGGAATACAGGCCTTATAAGACTATCTTTTAGCTACTAAAATAGCTTCGGCGGAGTAGTACAGGGCGCAAACCTCGGATTCTATAGTCTAGTTATTTTGCTTTGGTTTATTACCTATTAGGTCTATTAGGCAGATTATTATGGAGGATTTCCTTTGTTTATTACTACTACTACACTATTTTACTATACCTAGCTTCTGATAGCCTTTAGTCCTTAGGGCAAAAGGCGCCGCGCCATAGCTTTAGGGCTGCATGCGCGTAATGAATAAAAAAAAACATTTAGGTAGGGAGCCGACCGGTAGTATCGATATCGAATATATTAGCGAAGTCTTAGTATAGTTTAGGGAGGGCTCCCGGCTTAGAGGGGTAGGGGTTATCTTCTAAGCCTACTATAACCACGAGTTATACTAGTATAAGAGAGGATAGGGTTAAGACTATTATAGCCTCCTTAAAGGCTTTTCGTAGTTTTTATCGGCTTAAGATAATATAGAGGTTAGAGCGGGAGGAAAAGTAGGTCTAGGTGCTAGATTACTAATCGATTATAAGGTTAACGGCTCCTAGCTAAGGTTATCGTAGAATAATTTAAGGGCCCTTAGAATTAAGGTTTATATTATAAAACTTAGTATATTAAAGCTTTTTTCCTTTCCTAGAAGTTAGTCGCAACGATAATCCGGGTACTAAAGCTAAGGGTAGGTTTCTCTTATCTATCCGTAATCTAGGATATAAAGGGGGGGGGGCTTTAAAGGGGATTTAGTCTAAACTGAATATGGATCGGTCTAAAATATTAATATCGGCTCCCTTATCTAGGACAGCCAGGGCTTATACCTATTCCCTGCCTTACCAGAGGGAGACGCGTGCTTTTACCGGTATAGTAGTAGGTGCTACCGCTTAAGGCGGGGTTAATTCTTAAGGTATTTCGCCCATAATATAAGTTATTATTAGGCGTGTCGGCGAAATAGGTAATTTATTTAGATTAGCACGAATAGGAGTAAGGTAAATATTAGCGTAATACCCTTTCTAGTTATAGTTAAATTATATAATAAGTTTAATTAGGGTATAAAGGGGCTTAGCTTAATCTTATAGTTCTCCTATATTCTAGACGGGTTTAAAGTTACTAGTATTCTAGGGAAGGTTCCTTAGCTATAGCTAGTATAAGAGGTATTAGGCTACTATCTGTTTACAGGGGGCTTAACTTTTAGTTACTCGGCCCTTTTATACTCCTTATTATACTCTAGATAGGTTTTCGGGGTTCTATGCATAGATAAGATATAATCCCGGATTAGGGGTAAGACTCTTATAAGGACTATCTAAATTCGCTATTAGTCTAGCAGACGACTAAGGAGTTCCGCTTCTAAGGCTTCCTACTATTAGATAAACTTCGAAAAGGGTTCGCCGGGCTTCTAGTCTGAATAGTTATTAGTTTATATTTATAGCACGATCTTTAAGAGACACGTGTTATATTTATTAACTTATTTGCCTAGCTAGACTTTTAGGGCCTCCTAGGTAACCCGGGATAAGTTATTATTATAGGCGTACTAGAGGTAAGATTACTAGTATTCCTTAAGGTAATTCAGTAAGGAGGCTGTAACGTAATAGTTTTTAAGGCGTTATCGGGGCGCCTATTAGGGTTAATTATAAACCGTTACTTTACCTCCTAGATAAACGTCCGGTATTTAGCCTATAACTTGTTATTCTACTTAGCGACTATATAATTAACCTTTACCTATAAGCAATAGACCCTAGATCTAGTAAGGGGCCGGGGGGATTAGTATTAATATAGCCCTGGATAGTAGAAGAGGAGGGTATAAAGGACTAGATATTAGGAATAGAGCGATAGGTCTCTACGATACGTTATAATATAATAGCATAGCCGTTAAGGTTAGGGTAGTTCGTAGTTAGGGAACTAGCCCTAATGGCCTTAAGGGCGATAAGTCGGTGGATCTTATACTTCTACGCCTCCAATAACTCGAACCACTTAATCCGTTCCCCGATCTATATATGGGTTAGCTAGTTATAGGGGATACTTTTATAAGGTAGGCGGGACGGGGTAGGGGTAGGGGTAATAGAGGGCGTTACACGCTAAGGGGAAAGATAATAGGGATCAAGGTCTATCTCTAATTAGGGTATTACTAGATTATATTATACCTATATTATAGAGGGGCTTATTCTAAATAGAGTATCGATATTTTCGGGTGGTAGAAAGTTAGAGGGGCTAATTATATTATTCTGGCCGTAAGTGTTATTATTTTCGTGGGAAGATATCGTTTTCCTATCGATACTTCTTAACGGTCCTTATACCCTTTAGAAAGGTAAAGCGATTATTAGATTAAGTGGGTAGTTATAAGGCGTAAAAAGATAATAGCGAGAGGACTAAAAAAAGAGTAAGCGTAGATTCAGTAGTAGTAGTAGTTATAGCTAGTCTAAATCTAAGTAGTCCTAAAGAATTAGAATAAGTGCTACCTCTTTTTATACTAAGGAGGAGATATTATCTAAGTCTTTTTAATTTTATTATTATGATTCTTACTCCGCTATCCTATTTAATCTATAAAAGCCTAGTTTAGACTATACGGTCCTTCTCGGGTAGCTATAAAAGGGAAAACCCAGGATTCTGGGGAAAACCTCTATACTTCTCGTTAGTAAGAGTAATGCCGCTATAGGACCGATATAGCCCCGGTTCGTCCCTTCTATATATCTAGATTATACCTTTAGGCTAGTAGCTAACAGAAAGGGTAGTAGGTTATAGTTCGGGTTAGCCTAGACCGGTTATTAGTAAGGGGGCGGGGGCTAAAAAAGTGCCGCGGCGTCTCCGCCGTGTAGTAGCCGCGGCACGCTATCTCCGGCCTCCTTATATCCCCGGGGATCGTGCCTATTATTCTTTCTATTTAATTAATAAAGAGAAAAGGTAGGGTAGGCGTTCCTGCCTCCTTTAAGGGGAGGGGGGGGGGGGGGGGTGCCTATTATATCCGGCGGTAAGCAAGGAGGGCAAGGCTCTGCCTATACCCGTAAAGAATAGTAAATAGTTAATAAAGGGTAAGGTCCTCGTCCTTTTCCTTTTTCCCTTCCTATAACGCTATAAAGCTTATGATAGGTATTCCTTATTATATTCCCGCCTACAGTCTTATAGGCATACCGTCACGGTATTATACTAACTAATAGTAATATTTAGTTCTTTATTCTTAATTTATAATTTTTCTATCTAATTCTAGTATAGTCTATAGTTTATAGGTGGTATTATAGTAGCGTAGGGTTAACTAGGTAGTATAATAATAATAATAATAATAATAATTTTAATATTAACTATAAATATCGTCTTAATATAGGTATCTCTATATCGTGGTAGCGCCTTAGTGATAGCGTATTAATAGCCGTAGATACCTTCTTCTAGCAGTAATAATTATTATTATAAACGAGGTACTATCCGTGTTATACTATATATATACCCTAAAAGTATCGAAATAGTGTTATAGCGGCTAATATATAGTAGTTACTTATATTATAGTAAGCGTCTAAGAACCTACCCGGATAATATTAAAGCCTATACTAATAGTATAGGTATTAGTACTACGTACTTTTAGTGCGCTAATAGTTAACGTCTATATAAGAATATAAGTCGTCTTTATACCGTTAATATGCCGCCGGTATATTAAGGTAGTCTAACTAGTCGATAAGTCCCCCCCGCTACTAAACAGTAGTAATAATATCTTATAGATATTTATACCCTTTACCTATTAGTAAAGGCTACTAATACTAATAGTATCGTTACGGTAAGTAGTGTCCCATTAATATTGCGGTAGCATCTTATTAATAATCTATAGGCTAAGGAGCGTCTACAAACAGTGGCTTTATCCTTTAGACGGGCCGTCGCTTAGGCGCTACCTTCCGGTTATAGCTATAGCGGCACCTTATTAGTAGAAGTGGTTTTATAAGATATCCTTTACCAGACTCGTTACCTAAAGGGTATAATAGGGGTTCTTATAAACTATCACGTGTGCAGTCCTTTTTCGATTTCGCAATAGTGCCCCCGTAGTAGTAGTATAGCTAACTAGTTCCAGGGCCTTCAGTATATCGAAAGTAGTATTAACGCCTCCGAGGGGGGTAATACCGAGACTAGCAAGGAGTAAAGGGAGGGGGGGGGGGGTTTGACTCTATAACGCTTCGATACTACTAGGGTCCCGGCTTATCAGGCCCCTATTTAATACTAAACCAGACTATTATATTACCTCTTCCCCGCTACGGTACCGCCGCGTTCTTATAGGCTTCTATAAATTTAAGGGTAAGGCGGAAGTCGTTAAGCCTTTTCCGTTATAGGAATTACTTAGCTACCGCCCCGGCTTCTATATTATAGTCTAGTACGTTATATAGGTCCCCTTTAGTCGTGAGTAGTCTCCTTATAGTACCGAAAAGCTCCCTACGCTTATCCTCGGTTATATCCTAGTACTAGAGTATTACGTGCTCCGCTATTTCTACCCCCCCGTCGCCGTAAGGGCACCGCGTTATTAGAAATCCCGCCACCCTTACCTTAGCTAGGAAAGCTTATAGGCCTAGTCTTTCTAATCTAATCTAGGTAAGTGCGGAGCTTTATAGTTTAAGGAGTCCTTTATATTTCTAGAGGGTATATTATATTAGGGGGCGGTTTAGTGCTATTACGGTATAGGTATAGGGCCGCTGTACTTCCGCCTAGGCTTAACCCTATTCCCTTATAAGGGCTTTCCTCGGGGCTAAGGTTCCGGCCTAGGTTATTAAAGCGGTAAGCTATACCGTTTATATAAGGGTAGCTTAGGTCTTATAATACCGGTTTAGTATTATTAGAGCTATTATTACGGCGTATACTCCGGCTAATATCTTATTTTCGGTCCCCTTTTCTTATATCTAAAGGATCTTTAAGACACTTAGGCTTAAGAGGCATAGGTAAGGGGGGGGATAAAGGTCTTCTTTTGAAGGACCCTAACCGGCGTGGCCTTATAGGCTCCGGCTACTAATCGGAGGTATCGGTTCTATACCGCTATAAGTACTATTACGGGGCTATACCAGGGGCTGGCCCTTATCTTATAGACAGTTAAGACGTAATAGGTAATTACTAGTCTTACTACTATAAGGTATAATCTTTTTACGTCTATCAAGCTATACCTCTATACTACCACGCTAAGCCTTAAGAGGGCGTATATATAAGTGGCTAGTCGCCTTTTTACCTTTTTAGTATATTATCAGAAATCGAGTTTCATATTAAGCTAAACGCCTAGGAGCCTTATCGCCTCCGTTACCGGCACTAAAATAGTATTAAGGGGGAGCGGGGTAAAGGAGGGTTAGCGTGATTACGTGAAGGGGATATAGATATACTTAGTTAGTTCGAACTATAGTCCGCTTATTATCTTTTAATCTAAGTAAATTCGGTACACGGCGGCGCGGCGGTATTATATCTATACCTTTATCCTACTAAAGGCGATAATATTCGTGTCGTCTATAAGACCTATTATTATCGTTTTAGGGACCCTTTCTAGCTCCTTATAAAGGGTAAAGATATAAAGAATACAAAAGGTACAGGAGATCGGGGAGCCATATAGTATACCCCTATAAAAATACCGCGGGGGGGCTATTTCGCTATTAAGTAAAAGCTAGGCTATACGGTCTTAAAGAAAACTACTAATTAGGGCAGTAAGCTATTAGGGGAAGCCTTTCCTTTCGAGTACCTTAAGGAGGTAAGAGTAGGGGATAGTATCGAAAGCGCCTTTAATATCTAGTTAGAGTATTAAAGTAATACCGTTATAACCCTAGCTTACCCTTACGGCCTCCGTGACTCTTTATACTACTATCTTTATACTTTACCCGGTCCGGTTACTTATATATCCCTTTAGGAGGAGCCAATACTCCTCCGCTATAACGGCGATACGGTTAGCTAGTATCCCCTTAAGGACCTTACCTATTATATTAAGGAGTAATATTAGTCGCTAGCCCTTTACTATCTTATAATTGGCCGATAGCCGACCTTCCTTCTTAAGGACTATTATAATAGTATAATAGCACCTTTTCGGGTAATAGCCTACTTTAAGGCACGCTATAAAGATAGTACTTAGTCTTTAGTATAAGGGGGGTCTATATACTTTTAGGAGCCCTACTAGGAACCTATTAAGCCTTAGTGCCGCCTAGAGTTTAGTCTTCTTAAGGTGCCCCTATATATCTGCTACGGTAATATTATAGGGGATATCCTATCTAGGGGGGAATTCCGCGCCTAAGGGCCTAAGGGCGGTAAGGAGGGGGGTAAAGAACTTCCCATTAAGGATTTCGGCTTTCTTTACGTGTATAGTAGCTAGGTCATTATTATTATCTTAGCGTAGTAGCGGTACCGATAAGGCGTTTAGCGGTACTCCCCCTTTAGTTTATACCTATTTCTATAATCGCTAAAGGAGGTTATCGTTCTTCCCGGTTAAGTAGAGTAGGTGCTATTAGTATAGCCGCTTCGCTATTACTATAGTCTTATCTTAGCTCCTCTCCGCTTCCTAGAACTTATCCTATCGGTTCTGGGTCTTCCTAGATATATATCTATAGTAGAGGCGTCTCGCCTCCGAAGTAAAAGCGGTTAGCTCCGCGTTCTACTAAGGGATAGGTAGGAGTCTAAGGGTACCCCCGTGGCGGCGCGGTACGGCCTTATCGGCTAGGGTCGTAAGATATCTCCTAGTATTATAAAGGGGCCGGTCTATTATAGTTATATAGTAGCGAGCTAGGGGTCTTATAAGGGGTTAAAGTCCTTCTAGACCTAATAGGGCCTGATTAGGTTCTATAGGAGTATTATCGCGGTGCTCGCCGTGGTATCTATCTTGATATAGGTTCGGGCTATTTATAAGTAGTGATCCGACCCGATAATAATCTTATTAGGGCCGCTAAAGTTATAGCGGAGCCCTTATATCGCCTATACAAGGTTAATAGTACTAGCACGCCGGTCCGGGCGGTACTATATAGTAGTTCCGGTGGGGTTACTAGGTCTAGGTTCTACCGGGTTATAAGGGTAAGTAAGGTATTAGCCCGGGGGTAGTATCGTAGTGGCTATAATTATAGGCGATGGTATAGGTTAAAGTCCCCTATAAGGATATAACGGCCCCGCGGCGGTACTATATTAAATATATCTTATAGGTGTGTATTCTAAGGGGTCCTAGCTAACTAGTAGTTCTCTAAGTAGATTAACTAGATTATAAGGGCGTTATCTCTAGTCCTGAATATAATCGCGTAGGTATCGTGGTAGGCCTACCACGTCTATATATTTAGCGGGTATCTCTTATAGATATATAGGAGGGTAGAGCCCCCTCCTTAGATTAGCCGGTATACACTTTAGGAGGGGTAGGCAGGGCTTTTCGTAAAGGGGTTAAGGCCGGGTTCCTGGATTACTATTATATCGTACTCGGCGCGGTACCGAAACTAGAGCTCCTACCACGCCTAACTCCTCTCTATATTCTATAAAAGGACGTGGATTCTTATTAATTAAAAGGGGGGGCGGGGTTAAGATAGTATACCCGGTATAACCGGGGTCTAGCTCTAGGGCTCTTACTACGGTACCTTACTAGCCCTGGTCTCTATCTCCTAGGCAGGGGTACCTGATAAGTATATAATAGAAATAAGGGTAATTAAAGATTAAGTCCTCTTAAAGATTAAGAACGATAAAACAATTCAATAGAATATAAGCAGGCGGATATTACTAGCAGAATAGCTCTAGCTGGAAGAGAATTAAGACTTTACAATAGACTATCTATCTAGGAGCTATTAGATCAATCAGAATAGAGTCGTTTTAGTAGAGCGCCGAGCTTATAACGATTAGAATATAAATTGAATACCGAAAATTATATATATATTTATCTAAGTAAGGTTCGTAGTACTTTATAAGGATACATAACTATTACGAAAAAGCAGGGGAAATAACTATAGATATATATAATCAAGGTACTCCACACGTGTAACATAATACAGTTTATCATACCTCGATAAGGTGGCTGAGGACATCTGACATTATAACAAAAAACGCCCGCTCCCCTGGAAAGTACCAAATACATTAGATGATCTGCTTCGAGGCGATACGCATTGCTGTGCCGGCTACCTGTGACAATGCCAATATACCTAGACGCCTCCGTCTGTTACCTTCGGTTTCTTGTCCCGGATATTATTGTAGTGGACGATGCCCAACTCCTTGTCTCGAGTAAGTTGTTCTAGGTCTCTCTCACTGACTGTCACACCTTCAACCTTCTTCACTCGTTTTCCTTCGTGGAAGATCATCAGACCGCCGGTAGCAGCCGCCCCGCATGCTAGGGCGACAAACAACCCCACCGCCCATGCCGGTCTGTCGAAACGGTTCATCCCCCACATGAACCCAGACAAGACACATTGGAGGAATGTGTTGCTGACATTGAACCATATGACGAAGTCCATCTTCCAAATTGAGGTGGGCGGCGCGCGGATGCCGGTTAGTGGCGGATCCGGAATCTTACTCTGTGGTAAGGGAATGCTGAGGAGATCGGGGCTCAAGTCATTTACGTTGTTTGGTCCAACGTCGACTGGAAGCAGGTCGGAATCTCGAAGCCGAAACCAGCTGCGATGGATGCCGGCCAGGCGACGCAGAGAGTCGGCATCAGAGTTGACGCGGTACCGAAGGAGGAAGTAAAGATCCCTGAACCTCCAAGGGGCCAACCCGAATCCTGTGACGCAAAATAATGCATTCATGATCTGCGAATCTATTTCGATCCATTTGCGGCGAGGTGAATTAATGTCATCACAGCTGGGATAACACATAGCCGGTGCTGCGTTGACGAGTAGCAGGAAGAGTTTGCCTCCCCAGGCTACAACTAGCAGTCCATACAGGACTATAAAGAAGCCAATAGGAGTCCAAGTATATTTCCAGAAAGCGATGGCACCGAGACGAAAAGATTCCTTCCACGAGTGAGCGGGAGGGAAGTGGTAGCCGTTCTCAAAGGGGCCCGTGAGTGGATGTTTGGCAGAGACTTTAGGAGCCCCTGGGGCTGCGACGGCTGGTGGTCGTTGCTGGCTGCTCACGAGCTCGGAACTTGCCCCAGCGTGTGGGGAGGTCTCGGACCTGTGCTCTTCACCACAATCTTCGCGTTTTTCTTTGCGATAGCCACCGTAGTGTCAGCAACCTTCCATTCTGGTGACTGGACGGTCGATGGAGTATGCTTGGGAGGTGACTGGTTACCTTGACATCCATGGCAATCCGTCACCATTGTCCTCGTGGTTGAGGACATGAGACCATGGAATACGAGCTTCGTAAATACCGGGAGACGACCGACTCGTTCGGGAGTTGATAATATGATCTGGCACGGTCGCAATCCGTAAATATTGATCGAAGGGCTATCGGGGTTGCTTGCAGTTTCGACACGCAAGGGTCGTCTGAATGCGAGATGCTGACGGGAGATAAAATAGAGTGCGGCAGCTCTGATCAGGGAAACGTGTTCCTCGTCCGTTTCACCCTGTCCGGAATATGGGAAAGGCGGCAAAAGACTCGTTCCAGTGTCTGCGATCTATTCGTGGAATAGAAGCTTTCCAATTTCGTAGGGTCAGGCAGAAGAATCAAAAGAGGTACTAGGTATTGATCTGGGCATAAAGGGTCCTAAGGGAAGTTGCTACGTTGGGTGGGAACGAGTTAGAGGGGCTCGCTGAGTCGCTCTCTGAGATGTGGGTAATGATTTCACATGTAATATGAAGGGTATTGTGCTTGGTGTTCCTTGGTCAGGGCGTCGTCATCAAGGTTCTCGAACCAAGTATCCGTACGACGATCGACGTCAGGTAACTGACGAAATCATTACACTCCAAGTGTGCGGCTGTTCAATCCAAGTGTTACGGACATACCTCCCCCAGGGTTTTAAAGGTTAGCTGGTGAATTCGCCCCACATCCTGTTATTCATTGGATTAGCCTGCCAATCCGTACTTTTACACCTATTTTATATTGATAGGTACAAAGATATATGACTATCTTGAGAATGATCGTGGAACTACCCTAGGGGTGATAGTTGTCGCATGGGCACACGGACCACGGCGTGGTCCCTAGGGGATCCATGCCTGACTAAGGGCTTCCGATCTCGGGGACCTCAGGCATCAGGATATGACAAGGGAGGATACCCGAAAAGACCGGATAGGATCTAAATAATACAGTACCTATAACAGAGTCTTTACTACCTAGATTAAGGGTATAAAAGACTTATATAAGTATAACTTAATATAATATATATATATATATATATATATATATAAGATTTCTGCTCTATTAAGTTAATTATATAAATGATATTTTAATATACGATAGCTATAAGCCCAGTTTATAATGCTTAAACGATAGATATTAATAAGGCTACCCCTATTCTATTATAAAAGTAATTATGTTTTATAAGTACTCTTTAAATAACTACTATTAACCTAATTAGAGTCATTAAGCGATTAATTAACCTACTAACCTACCTATTAATTAATTAATTAATTAACTGATAAACCAGTAAAGATATCTTCTAATATATCTAACACTAATCAGACAGCGGCCACTATTACCCTTATTAACTAAAGGGATTAGGCGATATAGGAGCACGCCGTACGCGGTAAATCTACCTCCTATTAGGATAACTATCTTAATCTAAAGCTAAGCGATACGGAGGCCGATGCCTACCTACTTCTTAAGCCTATACTACCTAATATTCGTAAATATAAAGCCCTTATCGTGGACCTAGACGCGGCGGAGGAGACCACGGCTATTACGTCTTCTACCGTTACGCTAAAGGGCGATAAGGCCACCGATACTATAGACGCCGCCGCCGCCACCACGGCTACTATGGCTATTACGGTTATTATAGCTATTACGGCCGCTAATAAAAGAAGATAACCGTTTATAGGAAGGCTATAGCCGTAATAAAAGAACTATTAATAAGGACGCCTATATCTATTAACGACCCCTCCGAAAAGGGGCGTACACGCTACTATAAGATTGCCGCGTATACGGTGAGGAAAAGGCAGACTACGATACGTAATAGAAGGAAATTATTAAGGTACGCCTATATATCTAAAGGACCGTTTATACTGTGTTATATAACCTCCTTATATAACCATAGGATAATAACGTAAATAACCTATAAGCCTAGATTACTCTCCTTTATAGGTATATAAGACTCACCCTTATAGACCTCTATAAGGAAGCCTTAATCCTATATTAATAATATACTACGTCTATAAAGGCTATATCTAAGGATATAAACGAGTAGGGTATAAGCTAGAAAATAGCGATAATATACTATAAATATATAGGCGTTTTAGAGCTATTAAGCGCGGACTATTAGGCGGAATAGACGTTAAAAGCTATTAGACCTATTGCTTAGGAATAGAGTAATAATTACCTAGTAAATAACTACGATAAGATTACGGAAAATAAGCTAACGATTAACGATTTTATAAAGACTCTAGGGGCGGTTCTTAGTAATATAAAGAACCTATAATCCGCTACTATAAAGCCTAGAGTCGGGAGAGGCACTTTTAATACCCTTCGGAACCTCCCCGATACTAAGGATACTGCTAATAATAAAGCTAATAAGAAGTGTCCTTGTAGTGATACGTCTATAAAGGCTATCCCTCCCGTGATAAAGAGGCCTTACGAGATATATAAGAATACTTATTCTACCGTCGTCTATTAGTAGATAAGGCCGGATATACACCCTTATACCTAGCGTAGCCGCGAAGATATTCCGAAGGTTATAGAAAAGAAGATACGTAACTATAGTTTTAAAAGCCGTGTGGATACCGCGATATAGAAGAGGCGGGAAGCCTTAAGGGGCTACCACCGCTAGTAAAATAAAGGAGGTCCAGGCAGATTAACTCTATAATACTACGCCTATTATAACTACTATACTATAAAATCAGCAGGTTACTAAGCCGGCCGTAACTATAGTTTCAAAAGACCTATCCGTTACCGCGACGGGGTAACTAGACGTCTACCCCTCCTAAGAAAGGGGGGTAGCGCGCCCTTATATATCGATACGATTAAAATTATAATAGAGGGTATCTCTTTTTATTAAGTAAGCTAAAGCACTATTATACTACGCGATCCTAGACTTAGGATTGTTAATCCACGTCTTTAATAATTAAGGCCGTTTTACGACTATTAGACTACCTACTAATACTTTATCTTTATTACTCTAAGTAAGAACCTATAAGGCTCTTATTCTCGGGTATAAAGATATTAAGCTAAGGGTATAATCCCTATCCGGTATAAAGAGGCTACTACGCCTACGCGATACCGTGTACTATAAGGAGTTTATTACTATTACGGGCTATAGCCCGCGGAATAGTCCCCGGTAGTGGCCGGGACCAAGAAGCACGGACCCCCTAGTAAGGCCCGTGCGATCCTATATATACTTAGCCGCCTATACACCACGTAGACTTTTCTTTTCCTCCTTTCCTTCCTTAGTTCGAATAAACTATATTTTCGACCTTAATACGTGAATAACTTTTGATAAGCCGTTACAATTACTAATATCGTCTCGGAACGCTAGCTACGCCTATAAGGCTACCGCTAGGATACTATAAATAATACTATTATTTGCTCTGCCGACGACCGGCCTACCTATAAGCTCCTAGATATCTATAGCTAGTATATAATCGAACGCGCAGAAGTTACCGCTACCGTGTTTACGGTTTCGGCACGGTATCCACGCGACGATCCGTATAGAAGATGACGATAGCCGTGGTAACTATAAAAGACTATAGCATAAAGATAGTATAAACGCCTCGGCTACTACGGCGTAGATACCCTTATAAAGATCGTTAACGCTACCTAGGGGGTAAGGATTAAGGGGCCGCGAACCGTAGAGTATAACGTGTACGGGTAATCGTAAATGCCTATATAGGTTAGGAGGATACTATCCCTTTACCCGTTAAGGCCCGGCGAAGTCCTAGCTATCGACTTTAACGATCTGCAAGAGTTGGAATTACTAGGCGGCCTATATAAGTCCATTATATTCGTTATAGACGTGTTTATAGGTTATACGTAGGATTACTACCTATAGAAGAGAGACTAAGGCTCTATCCTTTATACGTTAAAAGACGTTTTTACCCTGCTTAAGACCTAATTCGACATTAGGCTATATATTCTATAAGCCGATTCCGAGATATTTTAGTATCTAGAAGTCGTTACTTTCCTCGCTACTAAGGGGGTAGAAGGCTAGCTATCGGCCCTATACTTATAGGATTAAAACGGCGTTATAGAACGGATTAGAGATATCGTTAAAAGGAGGGCGAGGGCTATAAGGCTTAAAGCTAATCTGCCTATATCTATCTCGCCTAAGATCTTTAAGATTACTATATATCTATATAACAGAGCCCTATAACTTATTAACGAGTAAAAGATATTATACGAAGGCCTACGCAGCAGTCAACCTAACCTCGTGTACCTATAAGTATACGGCTATAAAGTCTTTATAAAAACGCGTAATACCTAAGCTAAAAGGAACCGCCTATAAAGGCTAGAACCGAAGGTATAGATCGGTTATCACGTCGGATACTATTCCTTAAAAAGCTTCCGCGTATAGCTACTATACCTAATAGATGTTATTACTATAAGAGATATAAGCTTTAATAAAGATAAGACCTTTAACGTTATAATTAAAACGCTATAAACTATGGCTTCCGCCAAGGAAATTAGGGAATACCTATAATCTATCCGTATTACCTAATTTAATAATATAGCGACCGCAAATAGGCTATTATTAAGGGGTATAGCCGTAGACGTATTAGATCTTAAGTCGGAAGACTCTAACGCCACCGGTATTACTACGGACAAAGGCGAGGCCGTCGTTATTACTATAAGAGAGGCTACCGCTATTACTACGGGCACCGCTATTATTACGGATACTACTATTATTTTAGGAGAAGACTACGCTACCGCTATTACTACGGATAAAGGCGAGGCCGTCGCTATTATTACGAAAAAGGCTACCGCTATTACTATAGACACCGCTATTACCACGGAAAATAATACCGCTATTACTATGAATACTCCACGATTTACTACTACGAGGTTTAAACCGTTTCCCACGCCTCTAATATCCCTGGAAGATCCTACGCACGCGTTCCTTATAGCGTTAGCGGTGTTCCAGGGCGTGAAGGTAGAAGAAGATAATAACTATTAATAGGCAGCCGTGGATACCCCTAGGGGGTGCCCGGCGGCCGTACACCCGTTAGCCGCGCGCCTATTACCCGTGCGCCTATTTAGTATAAGAACTATTATAAGCCTCTACACGACTAAGAAGATAGAGAATAATAATACCTAGGAGGCGTTCTTTAACACTAAAAGGACTTGAAACCCTATACGTATAAGGAAGCAGGCTATTAACGATAATAACGTCGGTGCTATAGATCCCTCTCCCTCTAATACCTCTTAGCCGCTATCGTATGTAACCCATAAGGATATCAGGTGCCTGTAGCAGTGGTCATAATGGGTTCCTAGTGTGAACCCATAGGGGTCCAGGCGTGCCCAGTCTAAGACCCCTCGAGGCATAAATAAAGCAGTTATCACACTAGTAAACAGAATAGTCCCTCGAAGCAAATAAGGTAGCCCTCGAGGAAGTAAATAAAGCAGTCCTCGAGGAGTAGCGGAGAATAGTCTTAAGGAGCGGAGGAGCCTCCCCTTAGAAAAGGGAGGCCAGCGATTAATCTAACTCTTTAGCTACCCCTATACTTTCCTATCGTGATTCTATCGTGATCCTACCTGGTTCCTTACTTAACCCTATCTTTTCACTCTTTACGACTACCTATTTAATATTTTAATCGCTCTACCTTTAAGGGCGCGAAGACCATTAAGGAGAGTTATTAAGATATCTAACTATCACGAAATAAACGATCCTACCTGCGATTTTAACGAGGCTGCTAGTTAGTTTAAGCGATAGCTCCGCGATAGCGAGACTGCCTTTATAGAAGGCGCCCACGACCCCGCTAACAAGGAATATAACGGGAATACACTAGGAACTAACACGGCCCCCGTATCTGCTACCGCACCGGTACCTATTCCTACGTCTACTACTACTTCTATCCCTATCGCTAGCATTACCTCTACCACTAATACTACCCCCGTCCCTCCTATAACCACGACAGGACCCGCGTATAACCCTAACCTGCCCCCGTATACGAACGTTAACCTAGCCACGCTAACGGAGGAATAACTAGACGAACGCGTTAAATAGATAAAGGCATAGAACCACCATAAGCGTAAGCTCGCGTACCTTACTAAGCTAGAGGCGGACACTACCGCCGCCACTACTACCGCTACCACCGCTATTAATCCTCCTATTAACCCTAAGCTAGTCGATACTACTATCCACCGCCGTATAGCCGAACCCCGTTATCGTATCGTCGCGACCCTATCAGGATCCTAGTATACCTATAATATATCTATAACGTCGTTTATACACGGATCCGCTATATAGGCTAAGTTTAATTTCCCCTTACCTAAATATGATAGTGTATCCTAGGCTAAGTATCGCACGTTTATCTAAGAGACGAATTAGCGGTTTAACCTAGATTCCTAGTCCTTCCCTACAGACGCTACGAAGAACTACTTCGTTATATTATGCCTCCCCTATTACCTTAAGGAACGCTAGTAGGCTAAACTACGATATAAGTACGATAGCAACTCTAATAGGGTTAGCTAGGCCGCCCTAAGAGCCTGGCTATCCCGCTAGGTTAACGATAACGATACCCGCCTACGGGAAATAGCGGTATAGATCCAGAGCGAGTCTATCTCCTCCTAGAGAGAGGGAGAATCTTACGCTAAATCCATATAACGGTAGGAAGCCCTAGAGTCGGAACTACTGGGCAAGCTCCCAGACTAGTAGAGGATTTAGATAGTGCTAACGAGGGTGCTTCCGCCTATTCGGGACTATATAGTGTCTATAGGGGTTCCTAAGGACTATTAGGACCTAGCCCCGGCCTATTATAGGGCTAAGGCTTTAACCGTTAATAACGGACTGGCCGTTACTCGAGCAGACTTCTAGTCTAATACCTAATAACGTCGTTTCCGTTCGCGTGCCCCGGGACAGAGTACCCAGACAGTCACCTACGGTTCCACTAATACTCCCGCGCCTATCCCTACGCCTACGCCCGCGCCTACCCCTAATTACCCTATATAGCCTAAGCCGTTATCGCTATCCCCGTCCCCCCGTTACCTTAACTCTATTACTTACTTTAACTATAATAAAAAGGGGTATTACGCCACTATATACCCTAGCTATAGGCAGCGCTCGACTAATAACGAGTAACCCGAATACCTAACCGGTATCTACCTCTCGCCCCACGGTTAGCTGTATTATAGGCGAGGTGCCCTAAGAACTATACCCGCCTCGGACTACCCCTACTACTATACTAGTAAAGGCACGCGTATCCTTTCGCCGAGGTAAGGAATAGGTATAGATATCGACTCTCCTTAATAGAGGCGCCAATATTAACGTTTTGCATCGGTCCCTCCTAGGACCTAGTTAGGTTCCTGATAGGTCCCCGGTTCCGGTGTCCTGGATTACGGAAGGATAAATAAAGATAACTCTAGGATCCCTCTACAGGAATATCACCACTACCGACTACTAGGGTCGGAAGAGAGTATAGCGCGCCGAGTTCCACGTTATATAGCTTGATCCCTAGGGCGCCCGTATAATCCTAGGAAGACCGTGGCTTATAGCCGTTAACCCTAATATTAATTAGTAGTGTAGTATATAGACCTATCCCTTATCCTACGCGGAGCTTAGTGTGGTTATATCCCTAAGAGAGCTACGTAGGGTAGTTAGATAAGCTAAGTCTATCCTTACCCTAACCTATATAGGTTCTACGCGGGGCCTATATATCGGCTATATCGGCCTAATAGAAAACCTTTTAGTAGGACGTAGAGATAAATTCTTAGGAGATAGGGCCTACCCTAGCCTAGACAGGGACCTAGCGGCCACCCCCGTGCTACCGGAATAATACTAAGACTTCGCTAACGTTTTTAATATCGAAAACGCCGGACGTCTACCGACACACTAGTAGTAGGACTATGCTATTAAGATCGAGGAAGGAAAGAAGCCTCCCTACGGTCCTATTTATCCCCTCGCCGCTTAGGAATTAGAAGTGCTACGTTAATACTTATAGGACGCCGTTACGAAGGGATAGATTAGACCGTCTACTAGCCCGGCCGGTACCCCTATCCTATTAATTCCTAAGAAGGGTGGTAAGCTACGCTTATATATTAATTATAGGGGGTTAAATAAGGTGACTATTAAAGACCGTACCCCCCCGCCCCTTATCCACGAAATCTTGGATCGGTTATCTTTAGCGTAGTACTACACTAAGCTGGATCTTAAGGACGTATACTATCGGCTCGGTATAAGGGCAGGTGATAAATAAAAGATAGCGTTCCGGACGAAATACAGTCACTACGAGTACCTCCTTATGCTATTCGGATTAACCAACGCCCCCGCGAGCTTCTAACAGTATATTAACCAGGCGCTAACAGGCCTCGTTGACACTATTTACGTTATATACCTCGACGATATCCTTATCTATAGTAAGGACCTAGTCACCCATCGCGTGCACGTCCGCGAGGTCCTTATAAGGCTTAGGTAGTAGTCCCTATATACTAACCCCGATAAGTATAAGTTTAAGACCCGCGATATTAAATTCCTAGGGTTTATCTATAGCCTAGACGGGGTATAGATGGATCCGGCTCGCGTTAAGGTAATCCGCGACTAGGAACTCCCTAATAGTATTAAGAAGATATAGGTCTTCCTAGGTTTTACGGGGTTTTATAGACGTTTTATTCGGAACTACTCAAAGATCGCCGCTCCTCTTATAGACTATTTGAAAGGGGGCTATATAGGGGTCCTCGTGCTTTCCTAGTAGGCCTAGACCGTGTTCGAGGAAATAAAACTGATATTCTGGAAGGTATTAGTCCTGCGGTATTTTAATCCTGCTCTGCTAATACGTATTAAGCCCGACGCTTCTGCTTTTATAATTAGGGCCGTTATTAGTTAGCTCGAGGGTAGGCTCTAGAGGCCTATTATATTTATATCTCGTAAGCTCCGCGGCGCCGAGCTTAAATATAGTATACCCAATTCTAAGCTTATAGCTATTATTAAGTCTTTTCGGACGTGGCGGTATTACGTGGCCTATAGTTAAAGCCCTATAGTAGTCCTGATAGACTATCTAAACCATCGCTACCTGCTAGATAAGCCGAAGCTTAAGGGGTAGCACGCGCGGTGGCTTAAGGAGCTCGCCCTGTTTAATCTTAAGATTCGGCACTATCCGGGGACGTTAAACCCCGTGGATAGATTATTAAGGAAGCCCTAACACACGCCCTATAAGCGCGCCCTGGTTACTAACCGGGCTAAGGCAGTAGAGTCTTTTTCGAAGCGTTTTATTATAGGGTATATCGGGAACTAAGGTAGTTCCCGTACTGCCCTAATTTCTATTCCCGCTCTTAACTCCCCCTTATTAAAGGTAGTAGAGGTATAGGCGGATAATCTCTCTTCAGAGCCCTTATTAAGGCGTTTTATTTTAGGCTATATCGGGAACTAGCATAGTTCCCGTAATAGCCCCGAGTATAATTTTCCCGCTCCTCCTACCTTAGTAGTCGAGACGTAAGCGGATAACCTTTCTTTAGAGCCCGCCCCTCCTATTTTAGTGGTAGAGATATAAGCGGATAATATTTCTTCGAAGCGTTCTGCCTTAGGCCTATATAGGACCTAGGATAGTACCCGCGCTATTCCCGCTCCTCCTATCTTACCGGAAAAGGTGGTTAAGACGTAAGCGGATAATCTTTTTTTAGAGCCTATATCGAGGCAGTTTATTTTAGGCCTTATCACGAACCAGCGTGGTTCCCATATTACTCCCGATTATATTTCCGCTCTTAATTCCCCTACCTTACTAGAAGAGGTAGTAGAGGCGTAAGCGGATAACCCTTTTTATACTAGGTGGCATAAAGCCCACGGTAACGATACCACGTACGGATAATAATCTAGGAGTAGTAGTATCCTTCGTTTTAAGAATCGCGTTTTTATACTAGACTACTCTGGCCTCCGATAAAAGGTCTTATAGTGTTTCTATAATACACCTAGCGTGGGTTATTATAGGGTTATAAGGACTATTAAGAGGATTTCGGACTTTTACTTTTAGGATTATTTACTTAGGGATATCCGGCAGTTCGTGCCTACCTGTACTATCTATTAGCACACTAAGCCGTGGCACTATAAGCTATATAGCGAACTAGCGAGTCTTCTAATGCCTTAGCGCCCCTTTATAGAGATATCTATTAACTTTATCACGGGCCTACCGCCGGTTTATAGCGCGGCTATAGACGGGAAACGGGATACTATTCTTATAGTAGTGTGCCGCCTAATAAAGTACTCGATTTATATCCCCTAGAGTAGTGGCCTAATAGTAGAAGGACTTACTAAGTCTTTATAGTATTACATCTTCCGCACTTTCGGCCTACATAACGGTATTATCTTAGACTAAGGCTTGCTATTTATAAGTCGCTTTTAGGTAACCTTATATCGGTGTCTCGGTACCGTATAACGCCTATCTATAGCATGGTACCCGTAGATAGATAGATAGACAGACGGAGCGGCAGAACCAGAACCTTAAGCACTATCTTCGCGCTTTCTACTCGTAGGAATAGGATAACTAGGTTAACCGACTACCGCTCGTAGAATACACCTATAATATAGCGTGGCACTCTACGATACTTTATACCCTATCCGATACCCTAATAGGCTATAACCCCCGAGGCCCTAACGAAGTATAGCTCCCGAGGGTAGGCAAGGTCCATGCCGCTAAAACAGAGCGCTATACGGAGTACTTTATAGCCTAGCGCCGATCTATCTCGGACCTTATTAAGAGAGCGCAGGCCTTTTACGAATAATACTATAATAACGGCCGTGTCTAGCGGAGGTTTAAGGTGGATAAATCCGTCTTACTATCCACGAGGAATATCCGATAGAAAAAACCCTCTAAAAAGCTTAGCGATAAGTTTATCGGGCCGTATAAGGTAACTAAGATCGTTAGCACGTATAGCCTAGCTTATTAGTTAGCGCTGACTAAGGGTATAAGGATTTATAATGTCTTCCCTGTATTCCTACTAGAATTATAGAGGTCCCGCGATAGGTTATAGCCGGAACCACCTATAGTCGACGTTAAACTAGGTTCGGATAAGTACGAGGTCGAAGCTATCCTAAAATATCGATATCAGGGTAAGCGATAATAGTACCTAAGTAAATAGGAAGGGTATAGCGACGAAGAGAATACCTAGGAGCCGAAACGGAATATCTCCGATAAACTTATTAACGCCTACTTTAAGACGAAACTATTAAAGAACTAAACGGGTTTATATATTACCTATATAGGAGGCCTTATAGATATAATGTAAGGACGTTATTTTACCTTCCCCCCTCCTTACGGATAACGAGACTTACTAGGAACCTAATAGGTTTACCTATTATTCTCGTAGGGGACCTAATAGGGATAAAGGCCCACGAATCGGCCACACTAACCTAAAAAACCCTTTAGTAGGCCGTGGAGATAAATTCTTAGATAGGGACCCCCCCTTAACCTAGACGGGAACTATAGGGGCGTTATCGCCTCGTTTACTATTTTCTTCTTCTTTTTACGCGTTCTGCTCTTAACCTCTGCCCTTCCTTTTTCAGCGTTCTGTTTCCGACCTCTATTCCTTTTTCCGGGCATAACGCCCTAATCCCCGTTCCTATTCTTCTAGCATAACAGCTTATCGCCTTAAGCTCTACTTTCCCCCCCCGATTAACCGTTATAATAGAGATACGATTATATTATAATAGAAGTATAGTTAGGACTGTTAGGGTTATAATAGGAATACCCTAAAGCTAGTTCAAAAAGAAAAAAAGGAAAAAACCTAACCCGAAGGCTAGTAAAAAACCTGAAAAAAAAAACTATTCCTCTATATATACTATCACGGCCCCTTTAGGGCGTCCTTAAACCCTACTAACTCGTTATCTAGAGGGGTAGGCTCGCGCCTAACCGCCTTATTATCCTCTATATATACCTGGCTCTGCCCCGCGGTAATAGCCGTTACCCCCTCTTACCCACTACCCGCGGATAGCGTTAAAGGATAAAAAGATAGCAGCGTCTTCGCCTACTACTTCTTCTTCTTCTTCCCTAATAAAGGAGTTAAGGGCGTTAAAGCCTTCTTCCCCTTACCCTTCTTTACTAATAAGGTCGGCACTATATCATTATTATCGGGTATTTCGTAAGGATCCGGGGGACCCTAGGGACCTTACGGCATAAAGCCATAAGGCTACGCAGGGCTACTATCACTAAATATATTATTACCTATAAAGTTAACCCCCGCGGGGGCTAAGGCAGGCCCCGAGGGTATAAGCAGGTCTCCCTAAGCCTAAGCCAGGTTAAGAGCGGCTATCTACTCGAAAGTAGTAGCCGTCCGCTCCTAGGCCGCGAGGTCGCGCTCGTGTAATATAACCCGTTATTATTTAATATTAAGGCGTTTCTGCTCGACGGCTAGACGCTACTACTATAGCCCGACGAATTACTTAAGGATCGACTCTATACTATTAAGCCTCTCGTGGATATTTTCCGCCGTTTTTTAGCAGGCGTTAATAACTTCCTTAGCTTAACGCCGAGTAGCTATAGCTTCCTCGGTAAACGACCGGTTAACCTCTAGTATTGCTTAACCCAGAGCCTCTCTAAGGATAACCTAGTATCGAACTACTATAGCCTAGTACTATAAAGGATTAGTAAAGGTACTATATAGGGGTAATAAAGGGATATAGTTAGTAATACTTACACGGCGACTCTTATTTAGGCTACCTTTGTTAATAGCGATAACTAAAACCTTCTATAGCTACTCGGTAATATTCTTACCGGTAATAGGAAGCTATTATATATATTAGACTAACTAGACTATGGAGTAGACTATAAAGGGAGGAGCTATAAGGATAATAAAGAGGTATAAAGGGGAATAAAGATATATCGGGACGACGATAAGGATATATAACTTACCACGCGGTATTTAAGGCTATTATGCTTAGAGTAATAATAGCACTTATTCGTCCGCCGACTATTATCGATATAGCGGCACGTTACGGCCTTAATAGTATACGTTTTTTCCTTAAAGTTAATCGCTACTAACTTACCTGTATAACCTATACAGGGGGCCCTTAGATCCCCGCCTATACCGATATCTATTACCCTCTAGCGTAGAGCGACTAACGGCGTAGTAGTCGATATTAAAGGCGTAGCCGTAGTAGGAGCAAGAGGCTCTAGCGTAGCTAGCTACGGGGCTAACTACCTAGCGGACTACGAGGTCAATACCGTAGCCGTGGTCTTAAGCCTCTTAGAGGCCCGCGTTATACTCGTAGGAGTAGCGGCGCGTTTATTATTATTATTTTCTTAGGAAGACATAATAACTACGCGTGGTTAGCTAGTATTATAGACTAAAGGCGTGTAGGAACTACGTATAAGATAGTAGTTATTTACCTATTTAAGATTATAAATCGTTAGTATATAGTATCTTAGATTAGGGAAAAACTCACGAAGAATAGTATAATCGGAAATTTAAGTATAGGAGAGGAAGAGAAGAATAGTAAAAGGGAATAACGGTAGGTTACGAGATATCCCTAAAAAGTAGTTATATAGGCACCTATTTTTAGTATAAAGAAGGAAGCTACGAATCCACGGAAGGAGTAATAACGGACCCTATATAATACCGGCTCTAGGAGTCTTTATAGATAAATTAAAGGGATGGCCTAGAAGGATAAAGGGATATACTAGGGGGCTAGTAGAGGAATCGGCCGGGAACCTATCGGGGTCCTGGGTAGGGTATTAGCTTTAGTAGTTTTATTAATAGAATAAAGAGAGGGAGTACGCACCCGAGTTAGAGCCACGGCCTAAGAGGCTCTATATAGGAACCAGGCAGGGACCTATCAGGGTCCCGTTATAGAGGACTCTGGTTCGGGGCACCGGGGGACTTAGGGACGGATTCGGGCACTGGGTTTTAGAGGAGCCGGGAGGCCAGCACGGATCGGGCGCTCCTAAGGACAGGAGTATCCGGGGAAGGTAGCTATATCAGGTGCTTATAGTAGTAGTTATGATAGGTCCCTAGTATAAACCTATAAGGGTCCAGGCGTGCTTAGTCTAAGACCCCTCGAGGTATAAATAAAGTAGTTATTATACTAGTAAATAGAATAATCCCTCGAAGTAAATAAGGCAGCCCTCGAGGAAGTAAATAAAGTAGTCCTCGAGGAGTAGCGAAGTATAGTCTTAAGGAGCGGAGGAGCCTCCCCTTAGAAGAGGGAGGCCAGCAATTAATCTAACTCTTTAGCTACCCCTACACTTTCCTATTATAATCCTATTATAATCCTACCTGGTTTCTTACTTAACCCTACCTTTTCACTCTTTACGACTACCTATTTAATAAAGGATCTCCCGCCCCCGCTAAACCACTACCGCGATATACACCTCTACCCGTTACGGGAGCGGTAGTTATAGGCCGAGGGGAAATACCTTAAAGGCTACTAATAGATAGGCTATTATTAGAAGGTAGGTAGTGATTAGGCTACTAAGTAATAATTCCTCGCCTATAGATAGGTATATACCTATAAGTTCAATAAGGAGGGCACCCTCCTTAAATATAAGGCATGCCTTATAGTATAGGGGGATTTAAAAAAACGGTAAGAAATTAAGGATAACTACACCGCTATATTAGTCTCGTTGTCCTTCCGTATACTAATAGCTATCACCGCCTGATTTAACCTAGAGATAAGGTAGTTCAACGCTATTAACGTGTTCGTTAATACTAGTCTTAAAGAGGAAGTGTTTATAAAGATACTATAAGA